TCTCTCTCTCTCTCTCTCTCTCTCTCTCTCTTTCTCGCTCTCTCTTAAAAATGGAAATAAGTAGAAACAAAGGGAAAAAATGTATCAGCCTCCTTGTGATGCCTGTTAGTTCTAAGGAACGTGTTGAAGGCCCAGAAGTAATAACCTCCCAAGTGGTTAAAAAGTATGTTAATGGGGCCTTGTGTTGGGAAACAAACAATCTTTTGTCTTTGATTTTCTCTTAGTAAAGACGAAGAGTGACAATAAAGCTATGCCATTCTCCTTCCATTGTAAGAAAATCATGAACCTAACCTATGCTCACTAAATCCGACTATAAAACTCAGGTACATTATGTTTGAAGTGTAGTCAAAGCTGAAATATAGATAATAAAGTAGTGCAGGCTAGGTAGTGGTCTAGTCTCGGGTCGGTTCTTTAACTGTTGCTTACATTTCACAAAAGAAAACTGCAAGCTTCTTAAAATAAAACTATCTCGACCATGTACTGTGAGCTGAACAACTCTTGCTATAAGGGATACCTCAGTCAAAGCTGTAGCCCTGTATCATTTTAAGCATTTCTGCTACAGTTTCTTTCTCTGGGATTTTCGCAATCGAAAGGAACGTGTACAGTCTGTGCGGCGCTCCGAGGGTTTGCAAGGATTGACTGCGGAGTGGTCGTGAAAGGTAAGGATTTTCCCATTAGATAACGAAAGTAGTTACGTTTAAAAGTCGTTGTTTTAAAATAAAATCTGCTAAGTAACCTAACAGACAACAAACTTAGGACAGTCGGAACGCCAGAGTTCTACGGATTAAAAACTTGTAAAGTCAACGTAGGTATTTAACAGCCCCTTCGACAAAATGCAGATCATTCAGGAGGCGGACTTCAATACCTTTAATTAATGTCAGGGCCAACCAGTGTCAAAAGGTACACAGTGTCTAAACAGATATCCCGGGCGGCGGATATCGAATTCTCTCTTTACCTAGACAAAGAGCCACAGCAGTACGTCAAGTACAGAACTCACATTTTCTCTTTGAAATGCCGAGTGATAGAGAAATAACAGGCTACCGGTAATGCCACATTTTCCGGTGATCGTTAATCAAACTGATTAAATGTTATTCATTTCGAAAAGACTCGGGGTAACTGTGGTAAAATACAATGGCTCCTGATTGTTTCCTGCATTCGACGAGTTCTATTGTCTAGCAAACATGGACTTGCTATTGTGGACCTTAAAATGAAAGCCTCGAACAAACACTGTCTAAATATAAGAACTCTTTTTATCTCCCAGTAGATCTATGTACGTTACTATCGTCGTCCTTGTTGTGGAAAGCTTTGTTCAATATTTTGGAAAAAAGAAGTCCATTCTCAATTATGAAATACGGCAGTTTCAGGTCCGTGATATATCTCTAATTTTTGCGAGAAATAGCATCATGAAAATAAAACACGAATACTCTGTCAGAAAAAAGTGGCATAAATATAATATAACAAGTTAACTCAAACACTAAACTAGCCCAGCCCTTCCCTCTTTAAGCGGACATTATCAGACTGGTCCAGTTGTAGACCGTCAAGAAGAACAGAGACATCGTGGTAAACCATCAAGTAAACGAACACCAGCTCGTTTTCTCTTTGGACGTATACCACACTGTCAGTATTGGTACATGACGTACTGACAAGCATGGTCAAATAAAGGAGTTATCAAAAAGGAGTTCCTTGCAAGTAGCAACGGAATGAACCAGCTTAACTCTATATTATTTCGTCTTTTTCCTGTCTTTGGTTTGGCAGATAAAATGTATGAAGTAAAATCAGGAGGAAAAGGAACGGTGTTCACAAAAACTGTGAAATATCGTTTAACACTTTCACCATCTCAAAGCCCCAATGTTTACACTGTTCTACCTGGATCCATAAACGTGCACAGCGTCTCATACCCATACAAATTGTTAACGTTTCTTTTTTTAAATATATATTTTTGTTTTCTTTTGGTTTGGTTTTTTAAACAATATTTTCCCATTTTCATTATAAAAACACTACAGAGACTGATGTTTAACTCACTTTCAAGACGATGCCGTGGCTAATGATAACCTCATGTTCTGGGCAATGCACTCTTGAGAAAAACGGAACATTGCTTGTGGCAGTTGGGAGTAAAATCTCTTTTGAAAAATAAACGTTCTAGAATAATATTTCAACGAAGAGCAAGATGACACGTGACGTCAGTTTTAACTCAAATTATGTGCCTTTAAGAAAAGTACGTAATCTTTTTGTCTTCAGAGACATGTTCTCAATTAGAGCCTGGAGATAGTTTTAAACAAAAAGGCGTAGTTTATCGTCTTTTTTTTCTCTTCAAATAGCATTTACTCAGAGTAAAAAAGTTTGCTACAGATTGCAAACTGCAAATAATAGTGTCAGGAGAGAGAAGGAGCCAAGGAAACGCAGTAGAAAGGCTGAAGAAAGAGCCAGGAGCACAGAGGAGGGGGCAAAGGGGACGGGGTAGGGGCAGAACGTTGAGACGAAAGCAGACGACGGAACATGATTAGAGAGCAGGATAAGAGGTGAAAGGAAAAGACGGGATAGATATTGCCAAGTTGCAATAATAGCGTAATATGAACTGAATTATTAAGAGTTTTTATCGCACATTTTTAGGATATCCTCGCTTTTTAGGGCACCCTTGCCATGGGTGTTTGTTGCAAATTTTAATGCACCATTTCAGAAAGTATATCAATAAGGCTCGTTTTCCCTCAATTTATGTATCAATATAGTTGAGCATGATTGCTCGTCTACTTACCCCCGCCCACCCCCACCCCCCCAAAAAAAAACCCCTCCTTCCCCTGGAGTTTTTTTTTCGAGATATCTCAACACCTTAACTGGAGAATACCTTCAATATATCAGTTTATGAAGGCACGTTAGGCCATACAAAACAGATGTACGTTTGGAACATGCTGTTTTATTAATTATGGGGCAGCAAGTTTTACCTAAAAGCTCAATAGCAATACTAACTTGCAAATGTTGTTGTTGTTGTTGTTGTTGTTGTTGTTGTTGTTGTTGTTGTTGTTGTTGTTGTTGTTGTTGTTGCAGTAGTTGTTGTTGCCGTTATTGTTGTTTCCCCACAGTATGTAAACTTTATGTCGACGACTGTTAAGTCTTCATTGCAAGCGGTTTCACAATATAAAAGGTTGAGACTATATTTTAAAGAGCCAACCTCCCAAATACACAACTTATATCTGTCAAAAGTGTCAGCTTGAATATTGAAACATTATATTTGCCTGTTGTTAATTGGTCAAAATGACGCCATTAAAATACCTTAACTTTCTAATGGTTTGAGTAAAAATATTGTAATTCTCTCGAAGCGTAATTTATATCCTCTCCGAGGAAGGTAGAGAGTTTAATGAGATTATATGTGTGGCATCGTGGTGAAATCAGGCGCTGGTAAAAAAATGTAAGGAAATCGACCCCCCCCCCCCTTTCCCGTTGAGTCATTTCTATCGATGTTGTGTGTTTGTCTTTTGTTAGAGGAGAGGGGGGGGGGAGGATTGGGGGCGTGGGGGGGGGGGGAGTGGACTCCACACTTTTTATGTCCATAAAAAAACTTATTCCTGAGAAGATTTTACTGAAGAGCATTGAGCAAAGACACAAAAACACATAATTTGCAGTTCCTATGAACACTACAGCTAATAAAGGATTCAAACCTTCCTGGCGACCATTTTCTCACTAATATTACCCCTGACACCAAACGATCCCCACCTACTTCATTTGCAAATATCATCTCGACTTCTCTTTAGGATGGTGGGTACTAGAATTTAAAAAGAAACAACCCAAAGCAAATTAGCAGACTTTAAGATGATATCAATAACCCAACATATCAAAGAATTGACGAGCGACTGATTCCACTGCATCATGGCGCATATCAATTTATAGTTCTCCGACTAAAAGGGGGCACAGTTCCTAAGCATCTCGGATTCAGCGTAAACGCCACAACTTTTTCAGGACAGGGATGTTCCTTACTCTGAGCACACGTAGATTTCTCCCCACTTTCTAGTCGTTTTGCCTACGCAGTGTCCTGTCCGATTAAAACAAACAAACAAACAAAAAATAAATCCCACACTGGGCAGTTTTAGACGACTATGTTATCAACCTATTTGAGTCTTATATGGTGTAGCGCTGTTTCTGAACCCTGAGACAAATGGCAAACAGAAAGGAAGGCATCCACTTTCACTTGGTTTCCATGAGAGGAGTGCAGTAGAAAATATGGCGATTTAGCGCTTGATGGTACTCGTCAGCAGAAGTACTTTAGGTTAGTTACCAGCTATATTGATGCTCATCAATGGCCAGCTATTTTTGATGAATTAAAACAAAACTAGAACTAAAAAAAACCCCACCTGAACTATGTTGTTTTCCAATGTGTGTGAGTGTTTTTGTATGTTTGTGTGTTTCTTCCTGAAATACTAAAAGATATTTGAACGTTCGCCCCCCTCCCCCATTTTCACCCCTCTCTCCTCACTTCAATGCCTCCTCATTTAGAACAGTTTGGAAACCGGTTCTTAAATAAACCAACGTAACTAGATAGGTTGGAAATAGAAAAGTAGAGAGAACAGAAAAAAAGAAACACTATTGTTTTTCTTATAAGTAAGTAGTAAGCGAAGAATTTCACATGTCTATCTTGACTTGTATATATATAATCATTATAATCACTTTTGTTTTATTAAGTTTTTTCGACGCTTGCAACTGCATAATAAGGTTATATGAGCGCCAAGGGGTGGATATCAGCTGAGAAGTCCAAACGGGGAATCAGGCTTACTCTGTCCACCTCTCTAGCCTCAACAGCATCAAAGCCTGCTTCGATTATCAAGGACTCGCGGGAATAGCAGCTCAAAGCAAGAGAGTGACAAACATAAAAAAAGAAGTAGAGGGATAATGATGACAGTAAGGATGAGGAAAGAAAAAGCAGCAGTTCCCCCTATGTTGTTCCAGCACAGTCTGAGCATGACATCGATATATCAGCCAATTTACAATTCTACTGTGCATAAGAACATGTTAATGTCTCCCCTTTGGGAATGGTCTGTAGACAACTTCAGTCAGTAGCACTGTCCTGATAATCTATGACAACATTATTTACAAACACTCACAAACAAACACCCTCCCCCCATTCCTCTTTATCTATCTATCTATCTATCTATCTATCTATCTATCTATCTATCTATCTATCTATCTATCTATCTATCTATCTATCTATCTATCTATCTATCTCCCTGACCCTCTTTTTTTCTCTCTGTCTTTTTGGTTCTCTATCACGTATGCATATGCACACAAACATACACTTTATGAATCACATGCTCGCTCTCTAACACTCTCTCTCTCTCTCTCAAACACACACTAACACGCATACACACACACGCAAACACACACACACACACACACACACGCACACACATACACACACACAAACACACTCGCGCACGCACACACACTTACGCACTAATGCGCTGAGGGACCAACAGTTGAGCGATACAAGGGCATTCCACAAAATCAAGGCCTCGTAAAAAGAAACATCTATCTATCCACACCAAAAAAAAAGACCAGACAACCAATACAAACGTTCTTTTCTCGAAGAAGCAGAGAGGTTAATCTCCTATTCAAAATCTCTGTATAAATCATAAATCTTTCTTCGCGGTTATCCGTATTAATGCTAAAATTG